GGGCCCTTCAAGTCTGAAACAGAAGCTTTCAGTGCTCAGTACGTGCTGAATAAACAGCTGCTTGGGGTGTAGTTAGATACACATCAGTTAGACCATCTCAGCGGCAGGGGGAAGATACTGAGTACAGTTTTGGCTAGGTCATAGCACTGACTACAAAATGTTACTAGATTATTTGTAAGCAACATCTGGGACACAGATGAAAGGTGGCAGAGTTTTATGAGGGAGAGTCATTCTGTGTCTTAGGTGTGGGAGAGATGTATTTCTCTGGAATGATCTGCTAGCAACATATGAACATGAAGGTTCCTGTTTCATGCTTAGGAGTGTGTGTCCTCCAGAAATGACTCAATGTGCTTCACATTTTCTTCCCTTTTAATCTCTGCAGGCTTTTGCAGGAAGCTCAGAAAACGGCTTTTACATTCACGACTTTTTCTGCTCTAACACAGGCAGAATAATCTTCAACGTGGAAGCTGAAATCCTGTCCTGGGGTAGCACGTCCATGGAGAAGGTCACATACAACTGACAATGCTGAGCTAGTGAGATCTGCTGTTCTGGTTTTGTCAATGATTACCAGGGCCTGACAAAGGTTCTACCATGAGCATTGTGGTAACTTCTTAAAGTTGATTGGGAGCTATTAAAGAGTGATAAAAATCAGATATTTCTGACCATGGTGATCAAAGGAGGAATTCAGTGGTACTACAATAGGTGCTTGGAGTTCTCCGGGCATTGCCATCGGTATTGTTTAATGACCCAAGTGCTATGGCTGCGTCGGGTAAATAGCAGCTTTGGCAGGTATAGAGAAAAGAAGTTCTTAGGAGACAGGGGTTTCAGAGGGGCAGCATAACTCACTTGCAAACTGTCCTTGAACACTGGTGGTTGTCACATTGTGACTGTCAGCCAGGAGGTTGATCCCACTTCCAGAATAATGATTTATTCAGAATCCTGCATATTTCCTCTCTCGGGTTTCACACACATTGATTGTGGTCATCATGACGAGGGTCATATAACGCTCCTGCCCTACCTATAGGAATATGATGGTTTGGGAGCACAAATCCTCCACTCTGCCACACTGAAAGTCAGGACAGTCAGTGCTAGTCAGCTGGGAGGCTCAGTGCATGGCAAGCATTAAGCCAAGAGCTCGGAAAGGGGAGCATCAAGTGCCTGGCAGCACAGAACAGGTTTTCTTGTCTCATCTTGTCTTGCACCCAAAACTTATGGGCATCCTCGCACTGTTTGGTGTGTATGGAGCAGTGCTGGGGGGACGTTGCCTTGCTGCACCTCAGCCTGAATCCCCCAAACTGCCTCAACCCAACACACATTGGAACGGCGTGAATCTCCTTCTTGTTCCCACTGCCCAGCCACCAGCAATTTCCCAAGCATCGAGTACATGTGTATGTAGTATTGAGTCATTTCTTTGGGGCTATTGTTTAAGTCTTCAAACCATGGAAGGAAACCGGGAGCCTGTTCAGATGTCACTAAAGGTCACTGGCTATTTTTACAGATTGCGTTAAAGAAAACGCAAACTGCACAAAACGAATATTCAGATTGTGGAGTCGGGACTTTGAAAAGTAATTCTGCTGCCAAACTATCACAGGTCTCTATGGATCAGGTGCACACGGAGTTTGCAAGGGTTTATGGCTTGGCCAAAGGTGTGTTGCTCTCCCTTTAAAGGATTATTCCCTGATACCGTGACTTTCCTGCCACATTCAAAAGCAGTGCTCTGAGCTATAGCAGTGAGACTGCTCTGTCCAACACTTGCAAGAGGTATCAGTTGTTTGGGGTTGTTGGGGTTTTTTAACTTGGGTAAAAGGTTTTCTTGTAGTCATGAACTGCATTAGATGAAATTTTCACCCCATTTCCAGCCAGGGCAGCATGGAAAGCTTTAATTTGTAAGATTAAAGTCAGGCAAGTCTAAGCAACCAGAGTCTTATAATAGTGAGTTTTGTCCTATGTGGTCGGGTTATCGAAGGGAAATGTTTTTTTCTGTCTGTTTTGGTTTTGATGTCATTCCATCAAACATTTAATTGGGAGACACAGCATTAGCTTCAAACCCATTTTGAAGCAATGAGCATTAGTCAGACATAAACAAATGGCTGGGGGCAACTGCATGAGTGCCAAGTGGTGGGAGAGATGTTAACAAGGGGCTTTGCAAGCTGCTTCCTTGAATGAATGAAGTTGCTGTAGAACAGAAAGCAGAGCTGGCTCAGCCAGGGCTCTGGTGAGGGGAGCAGGGCTCCTATAGCACACGGGAGGCACCTACATCTCCCAGTCTCAAGCAAGGTATGTGAGTGCTCAGGGAAAGCAGGTTGGGAATGCTCTTGGTGTGCACTGGAGTGATCCAGGCAGGGACATGGTGGACTTCAACCATGTGGTGCAGCTGAGCAGTGGCTGGATCCAAAAGCCTGTCAGCCTGCTCTCCTGAGGGCAGCAGGGGGGATATTCTGGTGCTCCAGAGGCAACTTGGGACGTTAAACTGGAGCTTATGAGGTTAAATTGGCTGTAAGGGACTTACTCAAGGTCTTAAGTCAGAGCAGAGCTGAAGGTTCATTCCCAGGTCCGTGGTCTCACCACTGGAACAGGCTGCCCAGAATTGCTTGGGAATAGGTTTGGTTTTAATCTTTGCACTGTTCTCCTTGCTGAGGTGCCTGGAATTTATCTCCAAAATATTCTGGAGGGGAAATGTGATCATAAAGCGAGAGCTCTGGGCTATGCAGGCTGCTTTTCAGGCTCCTAATGCCTTTGAAAGGGGGAAGTGTTACAAACCTGCCTCCTTTGGTTTCTGACAGGGAGGGTGATTTAAAAAAAGGCAACAAAACCCAACAAACCATTTTAATCCCTTCCACTGAGTTCATGTCAGCTTCAGCCTAACTCAGCCCACATTGCAGGAGCTTCGGGAGGTGTTTTATGTCTATTAAAATGGATTTGGGTCTTTATTGCTTTCATAACTATCGCTAACTGGGGCCAGAGCCTTGCCCTGACTGACACATGCAGTGGGTAGGCAATTCCTGCCCTTGGTGGCATAACAGAGACAGCTGCTTGGCCCTGGGTGAGGTTTGCTGAGCAAACCATATGCCCAGCCTTGTGCAGCAGGGCTGAGCCTTCAGTTCCTCTCCATCTCCTTACACAAAACCCTGTGCTTCCTCTCGTGTATCTCTGGAGCCTCATAAGACCCTTCTTCTTCCCAGCATTTCCCATTGCAGCTGCCTGGCAGGGAATTGCCACTCTTGAGCCTGCCCTTGTTGTTTTCCCAAGCAGAAGGAAAAGGCTTGAAGTTCCCTGACCCAGTGAGCTCATATCTGCCCTGTTGAGAGACATCCTCGGCAGGGGAGGGCATGGGCCCAGGCGAGGAGCACCCGTGTCGGGCAGGCATCGTGCCTGCCTTCACCAGGCTGATGGGAACAGACAGGGACAAAGGTAAAGCTTGTGGCATGAAAAGGCTGCTTGTTGCAGCGTTTCATGGCCAGTGAGCGTGACCAGCCTTCAGGGCTAATTACCGAAGGAGAGAGAAGTATGTTCTTGTCAGCAGACCTACAGGGTTACTATTTAATGAAGCAGATATGCAGGTAGCTTGTTCAGTGGCATGAGCAAGTGACTGACTTGTGTCCACAAGGATGTAGGTGTGCGTGGCGGGGCGCTTCAGGTGGCTTTCAACCCCTGGTCTTCCCTCTGTTTGTACTCGGGCAAAACTCTCCAGCTTTTCCTCTCTGCATTCTCAGCTCTCCTTTTCCCTTTTTCTGTGTCATGTTCCCCCTTTTCCTACCCCAGCACATCTCATTTAATCCATCCCATCCTTTCATAGCTTTCCACCTTACTTTTCCTCCCCTTTTTCAGTTCCCGATGCTAACTGGCATTGAACAGCGGTGTCATCACTATTTCATCAGGCCAGCCCCAGCTCCCTGCTCATGGTTTGTGGAGCATGTGTGAGCCGGGAACAGCCAGCATCCTCATGCGCTTGCATCAGGGTCCCCCGCGGATCGCAGTTGCTCAGCACATCTGACAAGTGTTACTTGTCCTCTTCTTGGGACTGCCCGTGGAGGTGTGCAGGGGGTGCTGAGCTCAGCCAAGCCCTGGTGCTGTGCTGACGGGGTTACAGCCAGCATAAGGATGCCTCCATGCTGCAGGAATCCCTTTGTGTCACTGTGTCATCGTGTGCCCAGAAATCAGTTGCGTGTTAAGCCAGTGCCTGCTCTGGGCTCTGTGGGAGACATGAGACAGAACATGTCAATTAATCAAACGATGGGGTTTTTTTTGCCCAAACTAGTAGGTTTGGGCAGACTCAATGGCTCTTTCTGACTCTTAAACTTGCACTCGTACTCCTAAGCTGAGTTAATACAATTTACTCCATCCAGTATCACCTCTCAGACTTATCCTGACTTCGAGACTGGGCTGCTATTGGGGATGTCCCTTGGGGTCTTTTTGTAGGAAGTTGCTGAGGGTAGGACAGCTTGAAAAAACATGTTTGACTTGTATGTTCCCTGGAATTTGTGCAGTTTTCTCTGCATAGACTACATTCAATTTTTTTCCTGAGTTATTAAGAAAATTAAGAAAACATACCTTTGGAAAGAGCCAGCCTATCCTCTTTGTCCCTGAATGCTGCACAAACCACCTCATATGAGGCACTGAAGATGTTTTGGTGTGCTTGGTCTCAGTTCAATCTGTCACCCACAGGAGGACATGGGCCTGGGATGCTAGAGGCAAAGCTGTGCTACCACATGGGTTCTCTGGGTCCCAGCCCTGTACTCTGTGTCTCTACAGAAGGGACACGCTGTGGAAAGCAGCCCTTGCTGGCTCCAGGTTCGTGTCACCAGTCCACTTGTAGTGATGCCAGGAATGCACTTGCGCTGCTTGACGCTCTCCATTTTTACCAACAGGATCCAGGCCAGCGCTCTGACTCTGCTGGTGACCTTGCGGGGGACATGGAACCACTGGCTGTCACAGCGCCAGAGGGAGCAGAGGATGCAACAGCATCATTAGCCAAGGTGGAAGGAGGGGACAAAGAAGCGGAAAGCCCAAAGGGAGCAGGTCCGGGTGGAACAGGTCCTCAAGGAGCAGCAGCAATTGTGGTGGAAACACGGGAATACCCAGAGGCAGAAGTTGCTGCAGCATGTGCCCGGGCAGCAGAAAGGATTGCAGTGTCACAAGCAGCCAAGGTGTTGCAATCAGCAATAGCTGAGGTAGACACCCCCCAGCCCCAGGTTCCCCCAGGTGCATCCTTCCCTTATTCAGGCACACATACACCCAGTGGCCTGGGAGGCTGCAGCTCCAGCACCTTCAGCCTATGGGGAGAGATCTTCAATGTGGAAACATTGAAAGCAATCAAAAAAAAAAAACCCTGAAATTCCTGCTGAGAGTCTGTGCTCTTCTCCCATCTGGTTTCCCTCTGTCTTTCAGATGAGCTCTTTTTCATGGTAGCGGGCACTTTATCACGCCTGGTGTAGTTAAGGTTACAAAGCACTCTCCTTTACAGCCCACTGGCCACATGCTCATCCTGCTCCAAAGCATTCATATTTGGGGATGAAAAAAGGTCCACGCGTGGTGTTTGCTCAGCCGAGAGTTTTTATTTGACATTTGAGCAATTATGTCTTGTGCGGTTCGTGCGCTCGCCGAGGTGATAAACGCGCCTTTCCCGTTTGGAAAACCTGTCTGTTAACATTGACGATGTGGTGATGGATTTTCAGCAGGGCTGGGATTTGGGTTTGCCAGGGCTCGGTGCCCACTCTGAGCACCACATTGTCAGATGTGTTTGGCACCCAGCAGCTCCCCATTGGGTGTGAGGCCCTTGGACACATTTGTTCCCATGTGTGGAGCTCTTTTGAAGAGCTGCCTGCCCGCAGCACCACTGAGCATCCACCTTCTGCTCGCAGGGAAATCTGGATCTCATCTCCCCAGGCTCCGGTTTCATTTTGGTTTGCAGGGTCAGCTTGGTGCTAGCACTGTTTCCTGGGCCCCAGAGCTGTCCTGAGTGCATGGTGTTGCTGGAGGATAATCTTTTAGCTTACCCCCCAGTTTCAGGGTCAGGAAAGGCTCTTCAGTGTGTGGCTTTATGTCTTGTGGAGGCTGGCTGGATTTACGCACATGCCAAACAATTCTCTAAAGCAGCCTGTGAATAGGGACCTTTATTTTTACATATCAGCAGCTTACTTTCTAGTGACCTTTCCAGCACTCGTGTATTTATTCTCTTGACTTTTCAGCTCAAAGAGAAGAGGAGCAGCATGTGGCTAAAGCCGAAGAACATCACTCAGCAGCAGGAGGAGGACTGGGTGGAAGAGGGAAAGGTGAAATGAAATGAAGGAGAGCTGGTGTTCTGGACCATACCTGATGGGGAGCAGGTACCCTGGCACCATGACAGCTCCTCAAGTGCAGTAGGGCTGCTGGTTACATCTCTTTTGTGACTGCCCGTGCTATTAAAAATAAAGATATGCCATATTCCACACCCAATTCAAGGTCTTTCTAAGGCCCTTGTCTCCTGGTTTTATGAAATGACAGCTCTGCACCTCTTCCCCAGAGATAACCTACAGTAAAGTGTGCTGTTCGTGCTGGAAAGCAAGCTCTTGGCATGGAACTATAGAGAAAAGAAATGCTGTAAATGTGGGGTCAAGTTTGTGTGCCTGTAGGCCAAGAGATGGTCGTGGGAGAACAGCTAGTGTCAATCGGTTTCGCATCCCAATAGGGCAGGTGCAGGCTCCAGTCTGTCTGCTTGCTCCAGCTCTGATGGGTGTTTCTTGCCTACATGGGAATGGTAGGTATCATCTCTTTTTTTCTTATTTATTTTCTAATTCTGCTTATTCATCTGGAGCAGGGAATGGGGAAGGTCTCTCCATCCACACTGATAACGGTGAAGTGCGGGGCAGAAGTCATCCAGAAGAAAATGAGGAAATGGGAAACAGCATCTCCAGAACGCAGTGGTGGACTTGCCAGCATGAATGACAGCAGTGCAGGATGATCTATGAAAGAAGCTCCTGGTTTTTGAGAGGAAAAACATTATTTGTTGTCTTTTCAGCCTCTGAGGTGTAGGTAAGTCTGTCTTGTAGTAAGGGGCTGTGATGGGCGCCCAGAAGCGGTGGCATGTCGGTGGCAGTTGTGGCATCGTATGGAGCCGTTCTGTGTATGAAATGTGGGAACAGACCCTTGATATAACAGGAGGGGAGGGTGTTGGGGATCTACTGCCTGGTGATGAAGGTCTCCCTCCATCTCTCCCTTGGCAACCGTATCCTTGTGTCGCAGCAAAGTCGAGGGGTTCGGTGCCAGGCCCGGGTCCTGCAGCACCCCCAGCATCCAGTGCACCTCTGCTGGCTTCTTCCTGTGTCTAGTGACAGGCTGGGGAGGAGAGAACAGCAGCGTCTGATTAAACCTCAGCCCCCCTGGCCCTAGATCTGAGGAGGCAGAGCCCGCCCTCCCTTCCCTTACCATAATTTCATTTTATTACAAAAAGAGCCCGTATTAAAAAAGCTCATGATTATGTTTTCTGTTCACCAAGACTTTTCCTGTATTCGACCTTTGGATAACCTCCAAGGCTTGCAAACATTTGAAAGGAGTAAAGGAGCTCGTTTTATTGCAGGGCCTCAGCATACATTCTTTCCAGCCTATCTTTAACATCAGTTGACAAGAATTATATAATTGCAGTCTGTGATCCCTTTAAGGCTAAAATGTATTCGTTTTCCCTCAAAGAACACTTCAGGTTTCAGAGTTAAATGTAGACTTTTTTTCCTTCCATCTGAGTTATTCTCTAAAAAGCTGTTTTCTCTTAAACTGGCAAATCTCATTCCACCAAGTTGCATGGATTTATTTTTTACTGTGGTTTTAAGCTCACATGTTAACAAGTAGAAGAAATAGCCTCCAAATCCCAACCTGTGTTTCCCATTCCATTGGAAAATTAGTGGGTTACAGAGAACACGCAGGGGGAATTATACTCCTTAGGTGGAATCAAATAAAATTTCAACATACTGGTTTAATCAAATTAGTGTCTAATGCTAATTGATAGGCAGTCTGGAGATGGACAGGTAGCTGGATTGGATTTGATCTTGCATTTCAGGGGCATGACATAATCTGGGTCAGGAAGGAATTTCTGGTTTCCTATCGGAATGGCATCTGCCACCATGTTATAGGAAGCCATGGACATTGGATACTTGAAGAGGAGTCAGGGAATGATGCCAAGAAAGAAGTCTGAAGATAATACCTGGAATTTAAGAAATGACTTGGCTGTGGCCACAGTGACATTCCGTTTGCATTCGTTCCTCACCGTGCAAAGTCTCGCTCGTGCTTGTGCTCCTGGAGAGTAAAATAAGCTCATAAAGGTGGGAGTATTCCTGGAAGATTTCCATGGTGGTTGTGTCTGTGTGTTGGGGCCGGTTGTGCTCGGATGCTCTGCTCAGGTCCTCCGCAGTGATGCCACCGTGGTGCTCTGAGCATATCCATGGTGCTCCTCAAGAGGGAGTGGGAAGTTCAAAGAAGCTGCAGTAACCCCTCACCCCTCCAGCACTTCTGGACAGTGGGAGATGAAGGGAGCAGCAGCCTGGTCATGGGTGTTCACATGCAGGAAGGGAAGTTAAATTCATCTGGCAAATTGGTTATTAGGGGTGATTTAGCTGGTTGAAGCTGGAGGGGAGACTGGGCTCAATGGGCTGATTGTCTGCTCTGCAGACTCCTGGGTGGAGTTGAGACCAAGGGGGTTTGGGATTGTCCTTAGTTTTGCCATGGACTCACCCCAGACCTGGGATTCCTTACTGGAAAGGAGGACAGCAGCAGCCAGCGTGCTGCCTCTGTGCTTTTTCATCTAAGCACTTGAGGAAGTGCAAACTTTTATTCCAAATAACGTTTGCCAGTAAAAATGGGTCCCTTCTTCAAATATTTGGTTAATCTAACACTGATTGCCCCCATTCCCTAAGGGGAAGAGGGGGCAGGGGCAGCATTCCTGGTTTTATAGAGGGGCAGGTTTGAAAGGGCTGTAAATGCATGTGGTGGGGGTTGGATGCAATAACCTCAGAGAGAGGAGCCAGTAACAGAATCCTTTTAATGAACTACAAGCCCACAGTTTATAAACTTGGACACAGATTACGCTCCTGCCTGGTGTGTAAAAATAACCGCGTTTGGGTGCCTTTGTGGCCAAAGGATCTTATAACCTGTTAAGTTTTCACTGCCTGTTTTTTCTAGCAGAGGCAGGACCTGTGTAATACCCTGCATTGCACTGAAAGGGAAAATCTCCGGCCCGTTAAGCTGTTCCCTGCCTTTGGTAGCCTCTCTGTATCAGGATTCACATTCTTGTTTCCGTTTCAAACAGGAGACTAGTTTACAAGGCAAGTTCCTCCTTGGAGATCACAAGAGGCTTTCTTTCCCCTTTCTTTTTCTGAGAGGAAGGATTAGGTCACCAGTAATACCGTTTGCTTTTTTTTTCTTTCTCCTTTGGCTAATCTGCTCTCCAAGATGTCCATGTTACAAGAGAAATAAAAGGCTTTAAGTGAGCGCAGGATTTCTTCCCCTCACCTCAGCACTCCAGCCAAGAAGGGTGATTTGCAGAAATCGCTGCATGGAAAAGCCCTAAACCCGAATTTCAGATGCTTATAAGACAAAGCTGAAAGCTAGCAGAGCAGCAGGTGCCATCTCCTTACCTCGCAGGGCATGTTCTACCTGCTCTTAAGGAGGTTGGTGGATGGTGATTATGGATACGGCTGCAGTGCATCCGGGTGTATTGTACCTGCATTCACAGCTTTGTGCAGTCCCTGACCTGCAATCAGGAGGCTTGTCATCATTCAAAGACCCTTATTTTCTATTATCTTTGTGCATTGTATGTGGTGCAAGCGTTCATTTGAAGATGTGCTGTTTGAGCCTGGCACCCTTCCTGGTCACTGTGCGCTGTACAGTGCTCGGCTTCACCCGAGGGGAGGATTCGTGTGAACGCCGGCTCCTCTATGCGGAAAGTTTTGGGACTTTAAACAAAATGACTTTGGTCAGAGCACACTGAGCCTGAACAGATTATTGCTTTAGTGAAATCCGTATTGTTACTGTTCAAATACCAAGTCCTGGTACCTGGTTTTGGTAAGGCACAAGGATTTTGCAGCCGTAAGTATGGATCTGCGTTGCATAGTTTGTACCTAGCACAGGAACAGCTTGTTCATGCTGGTCACATTACATTTGGCAACCGATGTTTAAAGAGCCAGGTCTGTCTGGATTTAAATCAGCCCAGCTCTGCGCCAGGCTTTGCCAACCAAGGTTCTGCCACTCAGATGTTGTCAGCTATTTTTTTTTCAGTCCTTTCTTCCCAAAGAGTTTAAGAAATGCAATTAAATGGACAGTAATACCCAGCAGCTAGGCATAAAAAGCTGTTTATCTAAGGATATCAAAGTACTTGACAAAGGTGGGTAATTCTCACAGTGCCCTTTTTCTGCAGGGTGGGATGCTGGCACGTAGAGACAGCGAGCGGTTTATCTGAGGAGCAGAGTCGGTAGCAGAGGTAGTAATTAAAACTTGGGTCTCATGACACCCAACTCTGTACTGTAACCACCAGACAAACTGCCTCCCCGAGCCATATCTCATCTCTATCTCCCTACATATGCACAATAAAGCCTTTGTAGTATATGCTGTACACTTGCTATTGATAGTTGTATCAGCTGAAAGATAATGCTTGCTCTCCTCACCGGCTGCGAGTGTGCTCCGTGCAACCTCAATTATCTGAACAGAATGGGGGAGAGGGGGAGAATTTGGGATAATTGAGGTTTCAAATAATTGAAAAGAGCTTTTGGTGTCATTAACAGGCACGGTGGGGACACAGCGTGTTTTGGAGAGCAGGTTTGGATAACTGGAGTCGAACTGTGCCAAACCGTGCTATGGTTTTGGTTTTCTTTTATTCTGCAAGGAGGGGTGTCTCTTCCTTGCTTTGTTTTGGAGGCAAAAAAGGATAAATGTGTTTCAGATATGTGTTGTTGGTGTCCCTTTAAGGTTGGTGGAGGCCAACAGCCATCCTGCTGGTTAATGGAAAGGCACTTATAGAGGTGGGGAGGTTAAAACCACCCCTCAACAGGCATTGCAAAGCCCAGACGGTGACGGGGGGTGGGCTCTGTGGGTGGCTCAATGTCTGCAGAGGGGTAGGACCAGGGAGCATCTGAAATATAATTTCCCCTGCTTATGCTGTGAACTGTGGGATTTCAGCTGTTAACGTGCTCCATGCAGGCAAACAAATGCACAGTTACTGCAGAGACACATTCATTTATGAAGATAAAACATGACCCACAGGAGCTGCTCGCAGTGTCTGTACAGTGAGAGCTGACCTCCCTGTGATGGAAACCTTTACTAGAGCGACTCTGTTCTAACTTTCACCGTGCCACCCATCCCTGCCTGCATTGTATGCAGGCTCCTTTGTTTTTAAACAGCAAACAACAGCATAAAAAGATGGGATGAAGTTTGCATGGAGCATCCCTGACCCTGTCCAGCTTCTGCT